AAATAAAATGAGACCGGAAAAAAACAACAAGGAAACGCCGATTTTGTGCATCATGCACAAAGACAAAACTGGTAAGTTCATAAAAGTACAAATGATCACCATATTGAGACGACGTGTCGCGCGGAACATTTGGGTCGCTATCTTGAAGGTCAATGTCACAGCATGACCTTGCAGCAAAATCGTGTCCGGCCCATAACTTCGTGTTTTGAAGTCGGATTTTACAACTATTTCACAGAAATGATCACCATATTGAGACAGTGTGTCGCGCGCAACATTTGGGATGTTTTTACACTTTGAACTTTGTCTGTGACATAACTCTGACAATACAACAGACTTTCATGAGTCCAAAACCTATTCGGGGAGCATCACCCGGTACAACCGGCTCTTGTAAAATATGGAAAAGACGGCAGTCCAAAAATAAATTTACAGACTTAAAACTAGCAGCAACTGAAAAAAGGCCTGCATGAAATACATTTACCAGCCACAGTGTAACCATGTATCAAACAGTAAAATGCAAACTAATATGCATGTGATTATACTGATATGTAAAAATATTAAAACATCCTTTATCCTTCATGTAAACAAACCAAGCGAAAGTAGGTCTCGTACAAGGCAGTGATAGTTCAGGCATACCGCTAAAACAGATCGCGCGGAAATGTATAAGATTGAAGAAATAACAATTATGTTATGAAACCTTACCATTGCTGTTGGTTGCTGCTGGATGTTACCCTGTTGAGAGTTCTCTCGGTATAGATTGTCTGTCCTCGGTGGTTGTAACACACCAGATCGCTCACTTGGAGTTGACTGAGAGTGAATTTCTATAATAATCAAAGAACTTGAAAGTACTGATGGAAGGGGATTTTTCCAAATATCACAAATTAACATTTGTAGTTAGCACTAGAGCGACCATTTATGGGAGTGGGTCGGGGTGAATTATGTCTGGATGAACAAATTCAATAGTTTCTTGAATTCATGGTACTATGCAATGCTACTACCATATTATTTAACAACAATTACTTTTATTTGCAATCAGGTCACAAAAGTGGAACAACATGATCAAAAAGTTTGTTTTGATTGTGGGCCTTTCAATTATGTTTCCAAAATATCTAATTAAACAGAATGACAATCTTAAACTATAATGACAATAATATAAGCAACAGGTGGGACAGTGGTTTACGTATGCCAAATTAAACAAGATACGATGATTATGTATAATTAGCAGTCAGGTTTTTTTTTCTAGATGAATAACGTATATAACGTACATATATTTAATTAAACTAAATAAGGCACTTTTAAATCTAACGGGACAATTTGAAATCATTTAACCGTTGGGAAGTTATTTCTACAAATTTTACTCAAAATATCCTTTGCAGACGGGAAACAAGATTTATCATTTTATTATCTTAAGTAGGGGTGGTTAAGACTGAACATCTGTCGGCGTAGGACATAGGATACTATTTCTTGGCCACGAGATACATGTACTAGGTCGTGGCCACGGGTAACTTTGTCGTGGCCACGAGATGATTAAGTCGTGTGAATGAGATACTATTTCGTGGGAACGAGATTCTATGTCGTGGCAACTAGTAACTAAGTCGTGGCCACGAGAGATTGCTAAGTCATGCGCACGAGATAATTAACCAATTAGATTACACTATATATAAAGATATATATGATATGAATTTTTTAAACGTAGACAAATATTAAAATTTACATGCAATATTCATCTTTGAAAATACTGAAGATTTTCATTTTAAACTTGATACATGTCTTAAGGATCATGTTAGAAAGTCACATTTCAAGGCCCATAAATAATACATTAAGTTTGACTAAGTTATAGCCCTTTGAGGGGGCAATTCTGTAACACAATTGGTCAGTTTTGTACTTACAACAGTCTTTTAACTTTGTTTATACGATAACTTGAAAAGGAATAAGTCCTTGTTAATTTTACTTGGTAGGGACATTGCCCATGGACAGAAGATAGCCTATAAGGATGTTTGAGGTCAAGGGTCAAAGTAACCATAACACGTCATGTAAAATCTTTTTACTTGTCTGATGATTAATTGAAAAAGAATAATCCATGGTTTTAATAACCAAGACAGATCATTGCACATGATCAGTAGATGACACCTAATAATTTTTAGGTCATTGGGTCAAAAATCAGGGTCACAATGACTCTTTAAGTAAAATTATTGACTATTCAATAACGTGATAAATGGCAATTTTTCTATCAGGTGAAGTAGGGGCAACCTTATACTATAGCACATGTCTTGTTAATTAGGAAAATTCATATAAATAGTGTAATCTGATTGGTTATTCATCTCGTGCGCACGAACGACTGAATTATCTCGTTCCCACGACTAAGTAACTCGTGGCCAAGACATAGTATCTCGTTCCCACGACTTAATTATCTCGTGCCCACGACTAAGTAACTCGTGGCCACGACATAGTATCTCGTCCCCGTGACTTAATTGTCTCGCATCCACGACTTAGTAACTCATGGCCAGGACATTCTTTCACGTTTCCACGACTTAACTATATCGTGGCCATGACTTAGTAACTCCTGGCCCCGACATATTACTCGTTCCCACGACTTAACTATCTCGTGGTCATAAAAAAGTATCTTATTCCAACGACTTAATTACCTCATGTCCACGACATAGTGTCTAGTGGCCACGACGTAAAAATGAACTCTTGACCACGACTTTATTATCTCGTAGCCACAATTTGGTAGGTCATTGCCAAGACATAGTATATCTTTTCCACGACATAAAGTTTTCGTGGCCACGACTTAGTAACTCGGGGCCAAGACATAGTATCTCGTTGGCACGAGATTAAAACACGAAATTCAAAATTTGAAACGGCCGAATTACAAACTGGAGTTGAAATTCGTAGCTCGAAGATCAATATTCAAAATTTGCAAAGGGTGATTTTGCGCTGTAGTCGAATTTTAAGCTAGCTAGAAGATCGAAATTCAGTATTTGCAAAGGCCGAATTTCGAGTTGAAGTTGAGTCTCATGCAAGCTCGTTATTCAACTCCAGCTCAAAATTCGGCCTTTGCTTCTTTTGAATTTCGATCTTCGATATAGCTCGAAATTCAACTGCAGCTCGAAATAATTTGGCCTTGCAAATTTTGAATTTCAATCATCGAGTTAGCTCGAAGTTCAACTCAAGCTCGAAATTTAGCTTCAGTTTACTTTGAATTTCGATCTTCAAGTTAGCTTGAAATACAACCCTGGCTAGAAATTCAGCTTTGGTTTACTTTGAATTTCTATCTTTGAGATTGCTCAAGGTTCAAAGCTAGCTCGAATTTCAATAAAAACTGAATCTCGGTCTAGATGTAAGTCCTTACTTCCTGATAAAAAGATAAAAAATAGAGAAAAACAGAATCCCTTAAGAAAGTCCAACACGCTAAAACTGAAAATGTTGCAGACTCGGTTTGATTGAGCCTGTTTATGGACGGTACTGGAAAGTGCAAGTTACCGTCCACGCCCCCTAGCACCGGCTTAAGCAGAATTCAACATTTAAACATGAAATAGTAAAATTTTGAATTTAGAAGCATCCGCAGATATGTTCATACGGCGGTTATCATGGAACCTTCAATGTGGTGCTTACTTGCATTTTCCGCCATGTTTATAAGGTATACCAAAACTGTTAGATATTAAGCATTCCTTGCTGGGCCTTGTACTTATGACAGGGTGATTGTCTTTGTCACAAGACAATGTCTTTTATCATCAGTATTATGGGATGGCCGAAATACGTACGTACATGTTCCCTTTCATGGATTCCATGAACGCGAAAGGTTTCAAAGAATTTTATTAAAACAATTATACCATGATGTAAATAGATAAAGGTCGACCTACAAAATATCTTTTATGAATAATGGTATTCTGTAACGGATATAAATCGACACAATCTTAAAGCATTGGATTATATGACTTATTATACCACCTTAAAGGTAAACGTATGCAAAATACTCCGCACCGTCATACTATAATTACCCGCTGGCGACTTTCAACGGCATGCCTCATTGCCAATTTCTAAAGTCATATTAGGCTTCTTAAATGTATTGCTTTTTAATCTTATGTAGCAAAAACTGTTCAAATAATAGATGTAGAATATGGTAGGGCCTAAGCGGACAGTGTTGTGTGTTTTTGGGGCTCTTTAAAATAAGCTAACATTTTACGTTATCGTAAAATTGGTTTTTGTGTGGAGACAATATATTTTATAAATACAATGTACTTATATATTGATGGTGCGATCTCCGCTCAGCTTTGAACGCCTTAAAAGCAATTCTTTAAATAAAATTAGTATTAGTGAGGATTTGTAAATCTAAGAACATAGTGTAGATAGACTTATGAATAGTAAGAATGCATTTAATTTAGTCAAGGTTTAGCATATATCATATAACATCGGGTATTTTTTAAACCTACACTTTGCCTCTTTATTACTATAACAGTGTCAAATATTTGAATATACATGTAGTTAATTACTTGTTTCTATATAAAAACACGAGATCATATGTAACGGAAATGAATCTAAAAGTCTTGAAATATATTAGAAAATCAGCATGAATCTGGAAGCATGCGGCCCTATGATAAAACAATGTTTTTTATATACTTTTTCAGACCCCTTCTACTATGCGGTTGTCTTAACTGTAAAGTACATGTATGGCATTGGCGTTAAATATGTTTACATAACAAGGGACGGGTGTTTCTGAATAGAAGATGCTCTTTTTGGACCTTTCTTATCGCTTTGATTCCTCGTTGCTAATTATCTAAACTAAAATGTAATAATGTTGTTTATAACAGAAAGTTTTCGATTTACTGGTTAAATATGGGACAAAAATATTTGTCCTAGATTAAAAGGCGAATCTTTATTTACTCTGTAAAAAGATTTTTTTGCAAATTACTGATTTACATGTACTCCACAGTTTTATTGAATCCGGTATTAATGACAAGGAAGGGTTAGGGGTCGATTCTTTGCGATCATGAATATGTATCTCTGCTTTGTAATCTATATTTGAAAAATGTAGATAAAATAAAACAAAATGTAAATTTATTATCAGAAAATAGATGACAAAGGTTAACACATTTTAACATATATTTTCTAAGTATTATGCAAAGCATTCCAATTGCACATGCTGTTTTATAATTACCCAAAAATGGCACAATACATGTCATTTTAAATGCTTATTTTAAATTATTTGATGACTTACAGTTTAAAATTAAATAACAGTCAACATTATGACTACTTTGTTCTTGTCGCGATATTAAGTTTGGTATTTATTTGAATTTAATGATTTAAATCTCAAATGAATACATAAAAGCAACTAATAAAAAAATTTACATGAACATTATTTTCTCAAAACACACGAGAACATACATAAATACGTTATATTTTACTTACACACACACGCACACACACACACGCACACGCACACACACACACACACACACTTAATCTCACGTCATCATTTGTACTAACAGCAATACGTCTTTCGACATTCATAATTCACCGAATGCATTTGTTAAGGTAGACCACTACTAATGTATTACCTCCACTATGAAGAGTATTCAAATAGGCAAGTGCATTGAAAATAAGGGACATGGGTTCAACCCCAGGAAGGGCAACTTTTTTTCTTTCTTTTTTATAACATTATTTATGTATCTCTCAGATCCCTTATGTAAAAAAGTGCTTAATATTAGTTATATAATTATTGTAGGTAGTTATTTGCTAAAAAATGCCAAATTGTGTCATTTGGTACCCGATTATTTGTTAATAATTCATAAACCAAACGATAAATTTAATTTGAAGTTTGCATACAGGTGACATTTCAAGGCATATATTTGTACCTGTCCTATGTTGGCAATTTTAAAGTTCCTTTTATAATGTAGTACCCATTAACAGTGGTCTACCTAAAAATATTTCGTCAACATGAATCATTTCAGTTTTTTTTTCATTATAGATTATGAACATATAAACAAATACACACATAATGTTAAATCAATGTAGCCAAATTGTATGCCACATATTTGACTTAAATATATGAAACATTTATAATAAAACTGTAAAAAGTTTTTTATATCACAAAAGCTTTAGATTATAAATTTCTTAAAAAATACATCGATATACGCACATAAATAAAAGTCAAGCCCGGAAATGATATTTTCAGAAATGTTCAATAAAGTAAGTTTGCAATGTAAATGTCAATTTGTGAATAAAATCTTCCAATTAACATTGATTCGTAAAGATTAGGAAGATTTTGGCATTTCCACCATCGAACATTGTATTTCAAAAGCGTCTAGTTTACAAGTTTGTTTACTTCTTTGAAGGATTAGTGGCGATTACAAGTATTCTAAAGCTACTTTTGGATTAATTTCCGTCATAATGATCCTGTTCACTTTATAACTATTGTTATTAAGTAATCTGCTTATACAGTCAGTCTGAAGACAATAACAATGACGATCCAAATAATGCCAATCACAATGCTTGTGATCACCAGGTTTCTGGCACTGTTAGCCATACTTGTGGCACCAACCATATCTCCCCTAGCTGCCAATTTCCTGGCCTGGAATAAGGTAATAATAGAAAGATAAAGACATGAAGAAAATGACAATGGTCAAAATGGTAGGATATTACGTCATCGCGCACCTGGAAAATGCGATCAATTTTGTTTGGGAGCCCGGGGAGTTAGCGCATTAAGAAAACAACTTTTTTTAAAATTATATCAAATACTGAAGTCAATCTTTTTTGCGCTACATTATGGTTTGATACTCTAAGGATTTTTTAGAATAAAAACATATTTTACCTTCGAGTCGACGGGATGGTAACAAGGAAAAAAGTCCGATTGGGAGCATTTTGCTGGTGCGCAATTAAATAGTATCCTTTCCGTAGAAATACTCAGTGTAAGAACGGTTAGAAATATAAGATACATGCATTACAGGATCAGAGATTGACAAGTTTGCTTGTTTAAGAAAAAACTATGACATTAAACAAAGTAATGCTTCATTTACATGTTGATGATGTTGATAATGATGACTTTGATGATAATGATGATGAATGATAACTTTATGTGTCTTTACTCACCCGCCATGCATAGTATATAGCAACCAATCCTATCGGCCAAAAACAACAGAGACAGGCAAAGATTGAGCCGCATATGTAATCTGGAGGTCTTGGCATTGCTTCCACTTGGCCAGCATATCCTGGCTGTGTCACAACCTGAAATTGAAAAAATGAAATTATCAATTAAAATCATAATCTAAGTGTATTCCGCGTTTTTCAACTTAGTATCTTTTAAATTAGTCGCCATGCTTCCAACTATCTCATTATTTTTTAACAACTGGAATTCGCGTTACCATATAACCATATCTCGACCTTCTTAAAGCCATTTTACGTCAGAGAATTACACAAACCTGACATGTTTGTTTTCCATTATATATTCAAGAACCGGTGACACTTACAGATCTTATGAACCCGGTTTTATCACTGCAATTACATCCACGAATTTGTATTGACTATCTTTTTAAAGCTCTTGCAAGCAGGTCAATGGGCTATGGTTCGAATAGTTTACTCTAAGCTTCTTAAAGCACACGAACAAGATATAACATGATATTCAAGGAAACGCAAAAAATATATTGCATAAAAGCTATATAAAAAAATGATTTTGTTCAATGTTTTATTAATTGAAGCTTACTGCGCAAATTTCTCATGTACTTTACAACTCCATATATGGCAATTTATTCCCATTCCGTTTTTCATTGGAAAGAAGAAATAAAACATCAACTAAAATTGTGTAATGTGTCCTTACCACTACCGTTGATGATTGGTGGGTATATCCGGTCTGGCCATACCCATGAGCTGGTTGTGAGGGATAAACTGTAATTAAAAATATACTAAATACACGTAACAAAGTTAGTTATAGTCAAACTCACTAATAGCATTCATCACATTTAAAACATCAATGTGTAGCTTAATTCGGTAAACTTTTGAATCAGGAATGGATTTCTAACGGCTGATTACATTTTTTGTAATCTCCTTTATGTGGAAGGGAGAATTTACAAGTGTATAGTTTTTCTGTTTTACATTTACAGCCCTAGCGGCGACAATGAAAGACAAAAACACTCAACAACCGAACACTTGTACATCATTCTGTCTGAAATATAAATCTAAGTTATGGTAGGATTAAATTAATAACTTAAAATTTGATTCCAAAGGTCAAGGTTAGTTGATAGTTATGGTAAGAAATACACAAAATAAAAGTTTACCCTGGGGGATAGGACACTCTTGTTTATTTATACATGAAATACAGGGACTTTGACTCTAGTCAGACACTTTCGTTCAACTCACTGTATCATTAAAATGCAAGTATCTTTATTTTTTCAAAATATCTTATATCATAATGTCCAAACCGTTTCTCATTGGCCATGCATCCGCGTCATGTTTTTGCTTCTTTGGCGTGTAACAGAACATTGGTATTATAGTGCGTTAGTTTGTGTAAAGAAATAATAATACCATTTTGTTTACAATAATGAGCACAATAAGTTCATCTTTATTTGAGCTTGAAATAGAATTATTTAGTTTTAAAATCTTACAAATAACTTTCCACTTAATGTGTCATTCTCTAAAAAAGAGGTTAACAGGAGAAAAAAACAACGTAAAATGACTTCTCAGCTTTCAACTAGCTGTTAATTGAAATAATCCCTTTCGCCGGTATATTCAATTTATGGCAGACCTCAGTTGAGTAGTGGACCGAAGAGAGAGGATTTGCCCTACCCGATGAGTGAGGTAACTAGGATGACTTGTTTGCATCATGGCTACCTCATCTTTATCATTGTCTGCTCAATTTAATGTTCATTTAGGTGCTTATTTATCACTGTGCAGCGATCTACTTTCGGCTCAAAAATTATCACCACCATTACAACTGTGCTTCAAAACTAAACTTTTCAGGAAATGACTGGTGACATACTTGCTATCCATACTCGATTGCAAAAGTCCAGAAGCACTAAGCTCCTTTACTTTACTCGAGGAAAACGGATCTTAAAAATGAGAAAGCCTTGGTTTCATTTTTTTCCTTAGTAACTCCTATAACTCAACCGGAAAAGAAAAGAAAACTCGGTCACAAAAGTAAAAACAAAAATGATGCGCAAACTGCCCAAAATAAATGTTAACAGAAACTAAAACTATAGTTTTCCGGAAATTTAAAGCGACATCATGCCTCTCAAAGTGTAAATTGTACAGGCTAATGTTAAATGTGTCCTTCATAAATGTGTTCAATTCTATATTTGACTATGCAATCCGCGTGAACAACAGAGATTTATTTTTATATACATATCGTCGGGAATGTATCAGTAGAGTCCAATTTTTAAAATGAGTCTTTTTTATAATAAAGGTTGTTTTTACATTTTATCTGATATCACTTATCGGTCTATAAACATTAAATTTAACATTAACAATGACATAAATTGCTCACAAAATCAAAAGTGAAAGTTATCCAAAAACTTAATAATCAATACTGTTAAACGAATAAAAGTCTCAGTAATGATGTTGATAATAGATGCTAAAGTGAAAGTTTTCTGAAAACTTTACGACGTTAAAGTTATCTGAAAACCTAAACAAGTGGAAGCTATCTTTCGTAAAAAAGTTAAAGTTTTCTGGAAACGTTTCAAAGTAAGTTATCTGCAAACCTTACAAAGTGAAAGATATCTGGAAACTGAACAAAGTGAAAGTTATCTTGCAATGTAGCTAACTATAAAGAATCACTCAAATTATTTGTAAGCAATCTAATCTGCTTTCTTTCCTAAATATAGAAATCACATGTTATTCAAGTCGTACTTACTGTTTGAAATTATTTTGGTACAATAGGATTGCAGTATTTCAAATAAATTGGGACATATTGACTATAGTACTTAGAAATCAATTTTTAATAAAAATGATAGATAGATAAATAAATGATCAAATAAATCACTAACAAGCTTCCCACAAAAATACAATATATATTTACATTAAACATATACGCATCTTTTATTTGTTCTTTCTTTATATCTGTTTAATGAAAACAAATAAGGGGGCGCTTATAGACAGTGATTTGTTTTGCAATCATGTCGGCACGTAATGCGGCAAAGATTTCGGACAAAAATACCACAAAAATACCATGTTTCGACCAATTCGATTTGCTCTCTAAGATAACTCACTCATTCAGTTAAGTTTTACTAAGTTTATTACCTTCAAAACCAATCTTGATATCATGTCAACCGGAAACGTATAGAATTTCGAAAAATCTTTTTATGAACAATGGCATAATGGAATTAAGAACACATTAATAACCAACCGCTTTAAGGGTTTTTTTTTATATAAATAGCAAATTGGCATGCGGTTGAACATCCGCCAAGTGTTTATTGACTGGGTTATTTAACTACCAGTGTGTGACCTATAATTTTAACTAGTTTTGATTATATACGTCTACAAACTGCAATATTTTTATATAAAATTCAATTTTAACACGGTACAAGTTGTTTTTAAAATCACTTTTGCTTCCTCTCCCTCACATTTAAAATACAAAGTAAGCGAAAGTACGATCACTGAACAGGTATATAGAAATAATGGAAATGCATGGATATCTAATTATCATAATGATTTTTAAAATATATTCTATTCATTTCTGAAACTATGCGTCTACAAACTTTTGTATTTAATATAAATTCAAATTAAACGGTATATTTAATATTTTATAGGTCATTTCGTATTTTTTAATGTGGGCGAAAAGAAGATTTCTGAAGTAGTGTATAGAAATTATGCAAATAAATGGCTATTAAATCTTCATAATGATTATTTTTGAAAATAAATATTCTCACTTTCTAAAAATATACGTCTACTAAGAGCAATATTAGTAAAAAATTCAACTTTAACAGTATATTTGATATTTTATAAGTCACTTTCGTATTTTTCAATGTGAGGGAAAGGGATATCTCTGTAGTTATGTAAATAGAAATTATGCAAATAAATTGCAATTAAATCATCTTATTGATTATTTTTTTAAATAAATATTATCAATTTCTGATCATATGCGTCTGCTTAGCGATTAATAGTAAAAATTCAATTTTAACAGTATATTTTATGTTTGATAAGTCACTTTTAAATTAGTATATTTCAATGTAAGTGAAAGGAAGATCTCATCATTTGTGTATAGAAAATATGCATGTGAATAGCGATTAAATTATCATTATGATTATTTTCGATAATAAATATAATCAATTTCTAATGATATACGTCTACAAATTTAAAAGGCTATTATTGCTGTTTGTAAAAAATTGTCAAATGTTGTTCCGTTTTACGTTAAAATCCAGAGATTTAAAATATTTTGCAAAGAAACTTTGTTGCATAGGTGTATGAATAAAACATGTCAATTCTGACCAATTTTAACACTGGTCACATGAAAATATGTCATCACCGCGAAATAGGTAATGACAGGATTTATATCGTTACATGTATATCATCTATGATAAAATTACTTAAGGTATTAGGACCCTAATGGGCACTATCAGGAACTAAAGAATTGACATCATAGGTCAGATGTATACCTTAAAGTACACCTGTATGCAAAATTTAAACAAAGTTTACCGTACGGAAATCAAGTTATGGCCACTTTTCTGAACTCAAGCTAGGGTGTTATGAGGGCCCTTTTTTAGAAATGAGAAACCTTTAAATAATCTGCAATAACATTCTAATGAAAAATGTTTTCACGTGAATTTTTGGTAAGAAACAAAAAGTACCATTCAGCTAACAATCCACATAAGCAAAATTATGGTTTCTACTTAAAATTTATGAAATCTGTATAAAAATGTTACCCTACCCCACCCATTTTTATCACATGTCTGACCATTTTTCTAGTTAGGGAGCCAAATTCAAAAAATTCTTAAAATTTACCCAAATGAGTGCCTGTTTTCAAATTTTCCCTCAATTTTTAAAAAAGTATATTGGTTGATCTTGTAAAATATGAAATACTTTTACCGTCTAGTTTTGATTATATTACACTTTGAAAATATCAGGAACCATATTTATTACTAGATTTAGCATAATTTAACCAATAAATACCTATATAAATTAAAAAATCAAAATTAAACACTTTTTTCTTTCCATATGGGACATGAGAGATACATAAATAATGTTAAAAGAAAAAAAGAAAGAAAAAAAAGTTGACCCTTCTGGGGATTGAACCCATGGCCCTCATTTTCAATGTAGTTAACAGTAATTCTAGCCTATTTGAATACTCTTTAAAGCGGAGGTAATGCATTAGGGTGCTAATACCTTAAGGTGAACATTTACGGCCTCTATACGGCGCATTTATTCCAATAGCTCAATTAAAGTATCACACCAATGAATGCAACTAACATAATATTTAATAGTATTTTAATATGTCTTTATTATTATACATAACTTAATTAATTAGTATTGTTAATATCGTTATAGGTAAATGTAATTTCTAATGTGTATTTTTACTTACTTGCATTGTCCGCCATGTTTATAAGATATAGCAAAAATGTTTGATATTAAGCATTCCTTGCTAGTCTTGTAATTATGACAGGGTGATCGTCTTTGACATACTATTAGGTTCTTATTTCTTAAAGTATTATTGGAAGGCGGAAATAAGTTCGTATAATTATGTTCCCTTTCATTGATTCTTTTCAAAGAATTAGATTTAAACAATACCATAATGTTAATGGTTAAGTGTCGACCTACAATCTATCTTTTATGAATATTGTTATTCTTTAACGGTTATAAATCGACAAAATCTTTCCGCATTGGACCATCAACATGACAGATTTTACCACCTTAAATGTAAACGTATACAAAAGATTCCAACCTTCATATTATAATTTCCCGCTTGCGACTGTTCAAAGGCATGTGTCATTGCAGTTTTTAAGAGTCATATAAGGCCTCAAAAATGTATTGCTTATTTTTCTTCTGTAGAAAATAAATGTTCCAATAATAGATATAGAAAAAGGTAGGGCCTGGGAGGAAAGTGAGGTAAATGTTGGTCTCTTGAAATAAGCTGACATTTTACGTTATCGTATAATTGGTTTTTATGTGAAGAAATGATTTTGTATAACTACAATGTACTACTATAATGATGGTGCGACCTCCTCGAAGCTTTGAAATTTTAAAAGCAAGTTTTAAAAGCAAAGTAGTATTAATGAGGATTTGTAAATCTAAGAGCATAGTGTAGATAGACTTATGTATATTAATAATACATTTAAATTAGTCGTCAATGTTTCGCATATATCATATTACATCAGGTATTGTTAAAACCTACATTGTGGCTCTTTATAAATATAACTATGTCAAATATTTGAATGGCCGTGCAAATAATTACTTGTTTCTGAAAAAATACACAAGTTCATATGTACCGGAAATGATGTCGCGTGCCCGTAGCCTGGTTCCCTGCCTTAGTTTACTACGGATAACGTAGTGTAAATTTATATTAACACTTTGTGCAAAGTACTGATGTACATGTACTTCGCAATTTTTTAGGAATCCGGTATTAATAGCAAGGAAGGGTTAGGGGGTCGATGTTTTTCGTAAATGAGAATGTATTTGCTTTGAAATCTATATTTTTAAAAAACGTAGATACAATAAAACAAAATGTTCATTTATTATAAGAAAATAGTTCCAAGGTAAAAGTAATTTAACATATATTTTATTGGCATTATGCAAAGCATTCCAATTGCACATGCTATTTTACAGTTACTCAATAATGGTACGATACATTTCATTTTTATTTGCTGATTTTAAAGTATTTGATGACTTACAGTTTAAAATTAAATAACAGTTCACATTATGACAACTTTGCTTTTGTCGTTGTATTTAATATGTTCTTTTTTTAATGATTTAGATCTCAAATGAATACATAAAGCAACTGATAAAATAATTTACATGTACATCATTTTCTCAAAACACACGAGAACATCATAAATACGTTATATCATATCATACATTGACACGCGCACACAAATATAAACGCACAGACAAATGCACATATACACACGAACAAACACTTTGTTTTACTGTTATTTTACACACACGGGTACGTTCGAGCGCGCGCACACAAACACACACACACACACACACGCACACGCACACCCACGCACACACTTGCACACACGCAAACACACACGCACAGCAACACACACGCACACACACACACACACACACACACACACACACAAACAAACAAACACAAACCAATGATATAATACTTTAAAGTGAAATTATGCTTATTTATTTTGTCACTGTTAATTTGGGATGAATAGAGAGAGATGCTTCATTTTCTAATAATAGTGATATTGAGTTATTTTATACTTTGCCTGACACAGGATGTATTAAGTGTGCCACTCATTTTTTTCAGATCTGGTTCATAAGACTGCACCCATGTTTCATCTATATCAATGATTTTTGTTCTATATCAATGATTTTAAGGTAACGTGTAACCAACGCTGAAAAGCCTTTGACTCTATCTGAATCCATTGAAAGTTGCAGCACTTTGAAATCAGTTTTTTATTGAAAAATAAGGGCAAAATAGTGACTTTTTGTAATTTTGTGGTGTCCCGTCGTTGTCATGGTAACAGGGATTTTACATTGAGTATGCTGTTACAAAAAACTATGGTCCAGCCAAAATGTGTGCACACTTTAAACAGTATTGAAGCATTTTACATACTTTCATGGCAGTTTGAACATGTAACAGAGGGCCTTTGTAATGAAAACAGCCATTTTTCACAAAGTGCTCGTGAAATAATTGGTTAAACAACATATAATCCTTTATGGGTTATTTCATTTTCACTTGCAAAGGTATGGTCCTATCAGGCAGGCCCAGTCATGTAAAAATTGACAAGATAGACCTGCTTTAGTACAGAAATCATTAAAAGTGATAAGATATTAAAAATGAAAAATAAATGTCATTGATTTTCATAACCATCCTGTAATCGGGAAATGATCGCGAAATTTTATTTTCTCAATTTGCCTGCTTTTTTACAAATATTTTCGTAGTTGTCATTCCCAAATTAGAAAAATCTTTGTGATCTCGCGATTTTCTAATTTATGTGCTGCCATCATTTTACCGTTGTAAACAATATCGGCATCTGGCGTTCGTCATGGAAGAATTATGCGATGTTTATTGGTGTCGTACATTAAACTTTATTCTTAGCAAAGCATTTACGATAACTAACTGTGCTTTTCTAACATACCCCGGTTGCAGTGTATGTAAAAATCATTTTTACTGTTGCAGTAAACTAATCCTTTCAAAATGTGTTCATAATATTCTACAAGGTGTGCTGATAAAATCTCATTACATAACGCGCTGACGTTCAAGAGATAATTATAAAGTCCACGAAATTTTAGATAACTACTCATATCTTACTATAATAGGTAACTCAAACAAGCGTTAACATGATCTCAGTTCATTAGAAAAATATGTTAAACAGATTTAAAACGGTCGTTAGCAACAAAAAAACAAAGTATGGTAAGACTTTTATAAAATATAATTATACGTTCTTTATTATCCCTTTTTTATTTTAAATTTATTATATAAAAAAAGAATTTTGTTTTGTTTGTCAAAAATCGCATATACCGGGTGAAATAAATAGAAACGCAATGTAATCTATCAGAATACAAGTCAAATAACACTAAGAAACATGTACAGTTACTCCTCGTTAGACAGGGCACTGCAATCGTTTGTGTTATACTGTTTTCAGTAATACATTAAGAGCATGTTTATATCTCTTGATAAGAAGATTTAAATGTGAATTAATCTGTCATTAAAGTAGCAAAATGTAAACAAATTAAAAAGAAAGTGAAATGAATGCTAAGACATTAAGATTTAAATATCTAAATATACTTAAATGAAATAGACAATTAATATGTAAACCAAATATTAATCTAGTCTTTAAAGGCACAACTTATTGTCAATGTATGTGCGCAAGATACATAATTATATTAAAAATGCAACAGTTATTATAATACACCAGGACATTTTATTACAGGTGCACTGGAAAATTAACTTTATTTCCTCGTATTACTTTGGACCATAAGCGAACGTTCTAAGTAACAAAATGGAATATATTGAAGAACAAATCAAAATAGTAATTTCAAAAATCACACTGGCTATAATCAGCCTCCCGGCAGTGTTGAAACTTCTCTTTGCCTTGTGATAGTCACCAGCATCCGCATGATTATTTGCCTGAAAAATATAATAACGTTAAAAGGTAAAGATCGCATTGCATTTTTAAATACGTTATTGTGCAAAATCGCACCAAAAAAAAACACAAAAAACAAACGCATTTTGTACTATGTAAACATGAGAGGCGCATGTTGATATAATATATAGACAGTAACAATTCATAAAAACGTCAAAAATCAGAAAATTAAAAATGTTGTAAATTCGTTTCAATTGAATTTGAATCTGTTCAGATAGGGTACTGGAATGTGTAGGGTTCTGATCACGTCAACATTCACTGGTTAAAGTAGAATAAAACATTTGACATGAAATGGTAACATTTTTAATCTCAAAACATCCGCATATATATTTATATGGCAGTAATCAAGGAACCCTCAATGAGACACAGAAGACAAGAGAAAAAGAAAGTAAGGAATACGCAAACCATTTAACTAGACAAAAATACCACAAAGTAAGACTTTCAGGTATCACAAACACAATAATATGTCCGCAATTAACGACTTGCACGTATCGAACATTTAGTACCACTTTTCTGTGTTTACAAAACAAACGCTCTTAAACCTAAAGCGATAAATTGATTTTGACGCTAAAATGGGATCGCGAATGTCAAATTTAACGTTTACCCAACTTTGCCTGATGTGGCGATAAGATGGTGTGTAGACATAATCGAATCGATTCTGCAATTTTCATGTAATTTTGTTGTTTTAGTGCTTCCGATGTATCACTTGTTTCCAGATATTTATCAGGAACGTAACCACTTTACACAGTTGTTCAATTCACCACGTCATCGCACTGTGGCATTAACGGTGTTTCGCTTCCATACAAGTGTGCGTGTTTTGGTTTTGGTATTACTGGTGTACGATGGGTCTTAGGGAATTGAAGAAATTGAATATCAGTAGTTTTCTTTCCTGATATAATGAATCATTTTTATTTAACACACCCAAAATTATCAATGTCATTTTATCTTCTTTATTTACTTTATGCCTGTAATGATAAGTGATAACCTCTAGTAAAGCATTGAACAGTGCCAAAGACTGAGTAAAACAACATTTATTATTTTGTCCAGTGCTGCAGTTCAACAGCTGTTCGTCTAATGCCAAAACATTGTGGTTCAGTGGTTTCAATGCGTTGACATCTTTAAGCACAAATTGTCATAAAAATGCAAATGGCAATTAATCATCATTTTACATTAGATATTTCTGAAAAACAGGGGAGTTAATGCTCGAGTTATATATAACATGGGTTATGTGATTTCTGAAAAGGATTTTATCGAAATTAAGTCCTGTGGAGTACCTCGGACAAGAGTCTCTTTACAAAACTATATTGAGAGAAAAATATTTTTAATTATCAAAACAGATACACGTGCATCTTAATGACAATAAAAAGCAAGAATCTACATAACCATGCTAACATCTACAGCACAGGACAAATAGATTGAATACTCTTTGTCGCTGGTACTATACCTTAATCTATTAGTAGTCATACCCAATCTAAATCTTCATAGGGGCATTGGACATGTGCAGTAAATGACCCATTTTGATTTATAGATGAAGGGTTTAAAGATAAAAGTCACAATGACATTGTGCGGTATTGTTACATGATCCTTGTATGTCAAAATGGTGTTCGACAAATAATTTGACAACCCATTACCGTTTGGTCCTGGAACTTTATAGAACCATTTGTCTCTGTCAGTAGGTGACCCTTTTTGACATGGACGAAAAATAAAGGTTGTAGAATTGTACTTTTTGTAAATGCATTTTGCCTTTGGTTCCTTGATTGTTTTAGAAACATTTATTCAAACCCTAGTCAATATGGCGTTAAATGCAGTCTCAAATACTTTCAGTGATCGAAAGCTAGGATTTGCACAGCATATACAAATGAATAGTGAAACGAATTTAAATATTATATTGTCAACAATCACGATTCTGCATTTATTTCTTTTAATCATTCTGCTAATTACATTATACAAAAATTTTGATAGTTATGAAATTGCAATATTAGGACTATCATATTGACAATTCATTAGTATTAATATTGATACTATATTTGCTACTCATTTTTTCATTCATGTATAAAGAATTTCCAAGCTATCAAATGGACATTTTCTTTTACAACTGGTTAAAGTTATTGAGCTGGTCAGTAAGGCACTATGCCTAAGCAAACTAGTAAGAAACGTCCCAAGTAAACATACCTCGTATGCATAGAGAACAGCAAATATTCCAGTAAAAGGGCAAATAAAGATGCAAACTAAAAAATGATGTCATAATGTAATCCGGGGGCCTAGCCTTGTTGATTTCAGGCTGATTAAATGGTGAAGAATCCATCTCAAACGTAGAATAACTGTGTGTGTAACTGTCCCCGGTTTGGTTGTTTCCTGCAGAGAAAAATGAAACTAATCAATCAATGAGAATAAGAAATATCTGTTCTAGATGAATTCCCCATTGCTGATAAATGAGCAGACTAAGTATAACGTTCAATCTGTTAAATTGCTAAAATTTTGTTACATTTTGTGAAAAGGTATCCAATTAATAATAAAAAGGTTTTTTTGCAAATTTCGAACACTTAAACATGATTTTGGCCACAAAATCTCTAAAATGTCCAAGTAAAGATAGCTAAAGGAACCATCAGTATAAAGAAAGTTTTTAATCCATTTTATTTAACTGAGGGTCCTGCTATTCAAGTTTATGTTCTTAAAGGAAGATCTGATAATTGAAATTTTTACACAATATAAATTCTTCAAAAAGTACACAAAAACCTTTAAAATCAAAGAACCCCATCAGGTTGGAAAATGTCAGATTGTTGCATGACAGTGCGTTAGTATGCAAGGTTTGTATAGTGTATCATATTCTCAAGCAGAACAAAGTCGTTGTGCTCCCCCATCCCTCCGTATTTCACCTAACCTTGCCTCTTGTAACTTAAGTTTGGTTCAAAAGCTATTAGGAATACCTTTCGGGTCTAACATGTATTCAGCGCCAAAACCTCGATTCTGTAATTGTCGAGTGTGTTCACAGTTTTCGGAAAACAGACTGAAGAAATGCCTTAAAAGATTTGTTCCGAAGACTGAAACTTTGTATATCTCTTGAGGACAAATAATGAAAATTGGAAATGAAAGTTTTCTTACAACTTAAAAGGAAAGACATGAACATAATTATTATGTTGGTAGCCTGGGACGTGAACCGAAACCATTGTATCAAATGTGTCCAGTTTTGGTGCCAGTAAAATGTAAAATAAAATAAAATTGTACTAAATATAGAATATCATTAGGGTTCTTTATTCTTTAGTACAACAACAAAAACATTTTAAAACAAAACTCTAATTCGATGCATGCTAAGCTTGAATTAATGTATCGCCCATTGTCTTGAGAATATCAAATGAGTGCAAGTTTAATAATGAATTTATTTAACGAGCTAAATAAAATTATATATTATGTTATATATTTTTACTCAATGAGTTCCACACATTTATTAATGAAGTTACACGATAACGATGAACTTTTTTTTAATCACATATTGAAATTAGGAACTTTTACAGTTTATAGTAAAAAGGAACATTTTTTCATTGGCGCACTGACAGTGTAACGTCAAGCGTTTTTAAAGCTATATTGTATAATGTGGTATGCGCAGCCGTGCAAAACCGGTTATAGAACATACTTATATACCAATATATTGTCGCTTTATACACGTGGCGGAAAGGTTATCATGTACCTTAGCGCGTATATAGATTCTACTGTTAATCGTTAAAGTAATAAATTTATATACAGTGTAACATCTAAAAACCGAACACCTGTGAGACTAGCCAAAAATTTCGGAATTTGGAAGTTTCCGGAATTCAGAAGTTTAGAGTTATCTGAACAAATAGAAACATTAAATATCAACATGAACAAAACTATATAAAGCTGATTAAATAATGAAATTGAAAAATTATTGGACTTTTATCTACATTGTATGTTAAACTTTATTATCACCTATAACATAATTATAACGTACAATAACTTAGTATATTTCATGATGTACCAGCTATTTACCTGTAAGTTTTTGTATTTTTACTAACTTGCATTGTCCGTCATGTTTATAAGGTATACCAAAACTGTTAGATATTAAGCATTCCTTGCTAGGCCTTGTACTTATGACAGGGTGATTGTCTTTAACATAGGTTCTTATTTCTTAAAGTATTATTTGACGGCCGAAGTAAGTTCGTACATGTTCCCTTTAATGAATTCCATGAACGCGAAGGTTTCAAAGAATTTGTTTTAAACAATACCATATTGTTAATAGTTAAGTATCGACCTACAAAATATCTTTTATGAATATTGGTATTCTGTAACCGATATAAATCGACACAATTATCGGACATATTGTATCACCTTTAAAGTAAACGTATACAAAAGATTCTGCCCCGTCATATTATAATTACTCGCTGGCGACTGTCAACGGCATGCGTCATTGCAATTATTTAAAGTCATATCATGCCTCTTAAATGTATTTCATTTTGTTCTTCATCTGTATAAAAAATGTTCAAATAATAGATGTAGAACATGGTAGGGCCTTGGCGGAAAGTAAGGTGTGTTTTGGAGCTCTTTAAAATAGGCTAATATTTTACGTTATCGTAAAATTGGTTTTTGTGTGGAGACAAGATTTTGTATAAATACAATGTACTAATATATTGATGGCATGATGGCATGATCTCCTAGATAGACTTATGTATATTAAGAAATTAATAAGAATACATTTAATTTAGTCAATGTTTAGCATATATCATATTACATCGGGTATTGTTAAACCCTACATTGAGACTCTTTATAAATATAACTGTGTCAAATATTTGAATGTCCGTGCAGTTAATTACTTGTTTCTAAATAAACACACGAGTTTATATGTACCGGAAACGATGTCGCGTGCCTCTAGTCAAGTTCCCTGCCTTAGTTTAATACGGATAACGTAGTGTAAGGGGAGGGAACTCCAAACTAGCATACAAACCCCAGGAAGGGCAACTTTTTTTTCTTTCTCTTTTTTATAACATTACTTATGTATCTCTCAGATCCCTTATGTAAAAAAGTGCTTAATATTAATTATATAATTATTGTAGGTAGTTATTTGCTAAAATTGCCAAATTGTGTAATTTGTTACCCGATTATCTGTTTCTTAACAAAGAGGAATAGGAAAACAATTTTCATAATAATGATGATATTATAGATTATTGATAATTCCACATATCTGAAAAAAAAGCCTTTCTTATAACAAAGTTTAAGTTCAGAAAAACTGTCCATAGCTCATAAACCACACGGTAAATTTAATTTGAAGTTTGCATACAGGTGACATTTCAAGGCATATACTTGTACCTGTCCTATGTTGGCAATTTTATAGTTCCTTTTATAATGTAGTGCCCATTAGCAGTGGTCTACCTTAAAATTAGTTCGTCAACATGAATCATACAGTTTGTTTTATAGATTTATGAACATATAAACAAAAACACACATAATGTTATATCAATGTAGCCAAATTGTATACCACATATTTGACTCAAATATATGAAACATTTATAATAAAACTATAAAAAGTTTTTTATATCACAAAAGCTTTAGATTATAAATTTCTTAAAAAATACATAGATCTACGCACATAAATAAAAGTCATGCCTGGAAATGATATTTTCAGAAATGTCCAATAAAGTAAGTTTGCATTGTAAATGCCAATTTGTGAATAAAATCTTCCAATTAACATTTTTTCGAAAAAGATTGGGAAAGACTTTCCCCATTTTCAGCGTGTATTTTGGGTTTTTTAAAAAAGGGTTTCTATTTTTAAAATTTTTTATTTTTTTTGATATTTTCATTGGGATTTGGCGAGTAGGGGCGTTTAAGTATTTTTAAAGCTATTTTTGAAATTTTTTTTCCCTCACTTTTGTTTTCTGTTCATTTAAATTAGCTATTGTTAATTAGTACTCTGCTTTTTGAAAGTAAATTTTGAAGACAATAAAAAATTACAAACCCAAAATAACCCCCAATTTCACAATGGTTGGGATCACGGGTTTCGGGCCCAATGTTACCTACTTGTGGCCCCCAAAACCATATCTCCTTCAGCTGTCAATTTCTTGGCCTAGAATTAGGTAATAATAGAAATATAAAGACATGAAGAAAATGACAACGGTAAGTACATATTGTCCATTAACAATGGTAGGATATTACGTCATCGCGCACCTGCAGAATGCGATCAATTTTGTTTGGGAGCCCGATTTAGGGCATTTAGAAAAAAAAACTTTATCCCGTTTTCGAGGCTAGGCAGTAAAACTTTAAACTTTTTTGAAAATTACATCAAGTACTAATGTCAATCTTGGTTGCGCTACATTATGTTTTGATATTCTTACGATTGTTTTTTTAATAAAAACATATTTTACCGTCAAGTCGACGGGGTGGTTACAAAGAAATAGTCCGATTGGGAGCATTTTGAAGGTGCACGATTACGTAGTTTCCTTCGAGTAGAAATACTCAATGTAAAAACGTTTAGAAATATAAGATACATATATTATAAGATCAGAGATGGACAGGTATGCTTGTTTTAGAAAAAAACTCTGGCATTAAACAAAGTAATGCTCCATTTACATGTTGATGATTTTTATGATAATGGTGATGATGGATAACTTTATGTGTCATGTGTCTTTACTCACCCGGTATTCATAGAATATAGCAAGCAATCCTGTCGGCCAAAAACAACAGAGACAGGCAAAGATTGAGCCGCATATGTAACCTGGAGGTCTTGGCATTGCTACCACTTGGCCAGCATATCCTGGCTGTGTCATAATCTGAAATTTAAAAAAGTAATAATAATATAAATTATCATGATCTAAGTGTTTTTCCGCGTTTTTTAACTAAGCATCTTTTAAATTAGTCGACATGCTTCCAACCATCTCATTATTTTTGAACAACTGGTTACCATATAACCATCTCTCGATCTTCTTAGGCCATTTTCACGTCAAAGAGTTACACAACCCTTAAATGTTTGTTTTCCATCATATATTAAAAAACCAGTGACACTAATAGATCTAAGTGATCCCGGAATTATCACTGTCATAACATCCACGAATCTGTGCTGACTATTTTTTTTAATTTTTAATCTCATGCAAGTAGGTCAAAGGTCAATGGTTCGAATAGTTTACTTTAAGCTACTTAAAGCACACGAACAAGATATAGCATGATATTCAAGGAAACTCAAATACGCAAAACAAAAAGTAAATTGCATACAATCTTATATAAAAAACATTATTTTGTTCAATGTTTTATTTATTGAAGCTTAATGCGCAAATTTCTCATGTATTTTAATTCAGCTACATATTTGGCAATTCATTCCCATTCTGTTTTGGATTGGAGAGAAGAAACAAAGACATCAACTAAAATTGTGTTATATGTCCTTACCACTGCCGTTGTCTGGCCGTACCCTGGTTGAGCACTCGAACCTCCTTTGTTGTGCTCAACGTAACCTGGTTTTGTGAAGGATAAACTGTAATAAAAAGATACTAAATGCCATGCTAACAAAGATATAGTCAAACACATTGATAGCATTTCATCACATTTAAAACCATCAATGTGAAGCTTCATTCGGTAAACTTTGGTCATTTTCCGATTCTGATTCGAAACTTTGTTGCTGAATGCTTTTGAATCAGGAATGGACTCTCTAACGGCTGATTACATTTTTTTTGGCAATTTCCTTTATCTAGATAGAAGAATTTACAAGTGTAAAGCTTTTTCTGTTTTACATTTACAGCCCTAAGGCTTGACAACACTCAACAACCGGACACTATACCTCTGTCTAAAAATATAAATCTAAGTTATGTAGAATTAGATTTAATAAATGAAAAAACTTGATTCCAAAGGTCAAGGTTAGTTGATAGTTATAGACTTATTTAAGAAATTCGCCAAATTAAAATTTGACCCTAGGAGATAGGATACTTTTTGTTTATTAAAAACGTATAAAATACAGGACTCTGACTCTAGTAAAACATTTTCTCTTTTTTAACTCACTGTATCATTAAAGTGCCAATTATCTTTATTTTTCAAAATATTTTATATTATATGTCCAAACCGTTACTCATTCGCCATGTATCCGCGTTTGATGTTTTTGCTTTCATTTGCTTGTTACAGAACATTTGGTATTATAGTGTATAAATCAAAAATACTTTTTTTGGTTATCTTTTGCTACATATATTGCAATTTATTTTTCATTAATGCTACTTAAGGCAAATAACATTGCTTTTGAAGATATTAAATCAACACAAAAAAGAAAAACAATGTTATTTTCGAGGCTCATGGTTTTTTACAAAAGAGCCGTTGTATTTTCTAGCTTCATGTATTTGTTCCCTAGTTTTTACCACAGCTCCGCTTGATAGCAAAACAAGAGCATGAGTGATGCAGATGATCCCTTTAAAGTTACAAACATTATGAAAATCCATATTCGAATTATGGACCTTTGACAGTGACCTCTTATTATGCCCTTAAATGATAGTTTGCGAAGTTTTAAATTCAATTTCCTTTTTAAAAATTTCTACTAATAACTTAATTTGTCACTCTCTAAAAAAGAGGTTAAAACTAGCTTCACACAAAAATAAAATATATATATTTTACATTTAGACATATACGCATCTTTTATTTTTCTTTCTTTCTTTATTTCTTTTTTTTAAAAAAACCAAATAAGGGGGGCGCTTAATAAGACAGTTTTATTTCCGTTATTGCAATTTCAGTCGGGAATAAGGTGGGGTTACAAAAAACTTGTTCATTATCTAAGTTCATTAAAAACTTTTATGTTCTACTTTCAAAATTTTCGTTGGGTTTTTTCTTTACAATCTGTTACAGCCTGTGCTTTTTCGCCCCGTAATGGGGCAAAGAATTTCGGACAAAAAAGGAACCCATGTCTTGACCAAGTTTCGATTTTGCTTCTCCTTAAGATATTCACTTGTGTTCCAGTTTAAGTTTACTTAGTTTATTATCTTCCAAACTTATTTGATGTTACAGGTTTACCATAAAGGTATATGAATTTTCGAAAAATTATTTTATGGAACAATGAATAATTTGGAGGTTATGAACACATTAATTTGCAACCGTTGTAAGGTTTTTTTTTTATTAGATTAGGCCCCAAAGATTTCGGCTGGCGGTTGAACATCTCCAAGTCTTTTATTGGCTGGGGTTCTTTAATTATCGTGTTGTAACCCCTTAATTTAAAAAAGGAGGTGAAAAAAAACACAAGAAAGGAAAACAACGAAAAACGGTAACATGTAACAGAAAAAAAAACAATTGCATTAGGTTAGACGAAATTACAGAAAACTTTTAATATTAAATATAAAACCACAGAAAACGAAGGTATGTTAAACATAATATCATCTGAACCTTTTGTGAGATTTGGAAAACGGAGAGCCCCCTTCACCACCTTTTTTACATCACCAATATTTATATACTGTCTTAAAAAGCAGAATGCCTCCAGATTTCAGAAAAATTTCATTGGTGTTTTTTCATGTATTTTAAAAATAAAGTTATTGGAAAGCGAACAAACATATCAAGTTTTCATTACATTGCAAACCCCGGCACTTAAAAATCTTAGCGAAAATTCCCAAAAAGAGTTATACAAAAACTGCAAAAGGGATAAGCCATTACTGTTTCAGTAACGCAGTAAAAAGAGGGGGTACATTTACATGGTAAATACTTGTTAAAACACATAAATTTAAAGTATCACTTTGGTCCTTGGAAAACGTTTATTTTTTCTTAAAAATCTTTAGTCATTTTTTTCTCAAGTTTGATTTTCTTTCAAATATTTTGGCTTATCATTAAAGAATCTGACCGAAATTTTGATAAACTTACACAATGGAGCAAAGCTCACAGTTTTGAAAAGCAAAAATGTAGAAGAAAAATGTTAATTATTTTTTAAATTTTTATCATGCTCTTTAAGGGTAAAAAAAAAATTTAACGTTATAAAAAATTATTGACACAAGGGTTAATATAAAAGTTTAGGTATTTTTTACACAAACTCTGTTTTTCAATTTGAATAAGAATTTTCGCCATTTTTTTAGACAATCTAGCTTCGAACCAAGGCTCGAAATTAAACTTCCAGCTTATTATTCCCGGCTTTTTCTGCTTTTTGAATTTCGATCTTTGAGTTAGCCTTACATTACATTCCTGACTCAAAATTCAGATCTTGGTTTTTACTTTTGAATCTTGATCTTCAAATTTAGGGCCAAATGTTTCAAAGCTACTGGAAATTCACTAAAAACAGAATTTTCGATCTTGTTGTAAGTTCTAACTTCCTGATACTCCTCTAAAAGATTTTTGACTGTTTTTCCCCCATTCCTTAGATAAAAACAAAATCCCCGAAAAAACACCTAATACCGGTACATTGTATATCATCTATTTTATAAAATTACTTAAAGCATGAAACTTTTACGGCCTCCATACGGCCGCCATTAATTCCCATAGATCAATAAAAGTATCCCACCCAATGAACGCAACTAACATAAACATTTAATAGTTTTTAATATGTTCCATTAATAATAAATAAAAATTAATTTAATCAATTTAAAAATAGCGGTAAATATCGTTATAAGTAAATGTAATATCTAATGTGTATTTCAACTTTTACTTGCATTTTGCCCGTCATGTTTTATAAGGTATATCAAAAATATTATTATATTAAGCTTCCTTGCTTTGGGCCTTCTGTACTTTATGAAAGTTGATTGGTCCTGTGACATAGGTTCTTATTTTCTTTAAAAGTATTAATGGGAATGGCCGAAAATAAGTTTTACATTGTTTTCCCTTTCACAATTTTGAAATCTGAATTCTATTTTTAAACAACACCAAATTTATTGTTTTTAAGGGAACTGTTTGCCTAAAAATACGAAATTGACTTTTTTTGGACGAAAATGAGAAGGCGAAAGTGATTTTTTTAAAAATTAAATTATAAGGAGTTTTAATATACTTTTCCACAATAAAATTTGCAGGTTGTAGACGTTATATTAATATAAACCTATTATTTAATTATCGGAAATGATCATTAATGATGATTTTAATTCGCTTTATTTGCTTATTTCTTACACAAATTCTGAGATCTTCCTTTCACTAACATTTGAAAAATTATGAAAATGACTTAATCAAATATTGAATATTACGTTTAAATTTTGAAATTTTTACCATTAACATGCACCTAAGAAGGCGTAATTACAGTTTATTGATAATATTTTCTTTTCAAAAAAAAAATTCATTTTTTGATTGATTTAATCCCATTTATTTTGCATTATTTCCTATACACCAAGTACAGAATATCTTCCTTTCTCTCCCATTCGAAAATTACGGGAAAGTGAACTTATAAAAAACATTTTAAAACCATTTTAAATTTGATGTTTTTTACTAAAAATTTTCCAATCTGTGGGTTATATTATCAGAAATTTTGATAATGTTTTTTTTCAAAAAAAAATTATTATTGATGATTGCAAATTTCAAAAACCATGCTCAGAGATTCTTCTTTCGGTCACATTTTTAAAAATACGAAAGTTGACTTCAAAAAATTTTAAAAATTATAAGCCCGGTTTAAAACGCCATGTTTTCAGAAATGAATTATAATGATTAAGTTTAATAAAATAAACATTCATTGATAATTTAACATCCATTGTTTTTTTCATTAATATTCTTATATACCTTTCAGAATATCTTACCCCTTTTCCACACTTTAACAGTACAAAATGAACCTTTAATCGGAACGAAAGGTGAATGTCCCAATATTTTATTGATATTATTGTTTTTATAATAAATATTTTCGCCAATATTTCATTGATATTTTAATGTTTTTTAAGGACAAATTAAATGGTTGTATTATGTTTTGCAGGGACACAGGGGCAAACTTTTTTATTTCTTTGTTTTAATTTTTTCATTCATTAAATTTGTAATGTCCTCAAAATGAATCCCAATGGATGGCAAGTTAAAAACGTTATATTTCAAATTTTAACATTTGTCCATTGCCCAGTCTCACTTGGTTTGAACTGTAAATAAATGTGTCATTTAAATCTTGCGCAAAGGATATCTATTTTTATTAATTTGGTGGTGCAGAAGGTAAAGTTTATTCAATTTGTTCACCCCAATAAACAACGAGGCATTGTTTCATAAGTTACAAAATATCATTCACTTAAAAGATTTAGCCGAGATTTTAAACGGTTATAACTGTCAATTTTAAGTGGATTGCGAAAAACATATGACAACAGTGTTTGCATGTAAACAATTAAAACATTATTTTATTTTATACTTTATTTTTGCTTCATCTTAACATACTTTTTAAAAAAAATTTTCAAAAAATTCACATGACCATATCTCGACTTTTCCGGGTTTTAAGGGAAATTTTGGGGAAAACACTTTAAAACAATGAGAAACATATTCAAAACCTCCCTTTAAATTAGATTAGAATTTAAACAGACAAATTTCCAAATTTAAAATATAAACAAAAACCCGGGAAAAAAAT